TTGGAGTCAGGACGACATGAGTTCAAATGTGACCTCAGACACTTGAGACTTACTAGCTATGTGACGGTGGGCAAGTCACTTAACGTCAATTGCCTCACCAAAAAGGAATAAAAAAAAAAGACTACTAATAACGTTTCTACATGGAAAAAGTATACAGTTTGACCTTATTGAATCCCTTATACTTGGTTTTTGATGTTTACCTTATATTTATCCTGGCTCTTATATGTCAAATTTTCCATTAAGTTCTGATCTTTTTACAACAAAAACCTGAAAGTCTGCCAATTCACTGAATGTTCATTTTTTATCATTCAGGGTTATACTTAACTTTGCTGAGTAAGTTATTTTTGGCTGCAATCCCAGTTCTTTTGCTCTTCAATATATAGTATTCCAAGACCTGTGGTCTTTTAGTATAGCAACTGCTAGCTCTTGTGTAATTCTGATTGTGGCTCCACAGTATTTGAATTGATTTTTTTTTTCTTCTTGTTCATAATATTTTCTCCTTAACTTGGTGGTTTTCCAACTTGGCTATGATGTTCTTGTAGGTTTTCATCCTTAGATCTCTTTTAGGTGGTGATCAGTAGATTTTTTTTTTCTATTTCTACTTTCCCATTTTGTTCTAAAACTTCAGGTCAATTTTCTTTTATTATTTCTTATAATATTGTATCAAGCTTATTTTTTTTATTAGCTTTCAGGTAGTATGATAATTTTTACATTTTTTCTCCTTGATTGGTTCTCTAGTTATTTTTCTTGTGAGATGTTTCACATTCTCTTCTATTTTTTCATTCTTTTCATTTTGTTTTTATTATTTTTTGGTATCTTATAATGTCATTCTCTTCTTCTTGCCCAATTCTAGTTTTCAAGGAGTTATTGTTTTCCTTAAGACTGGATCTTTTTTTCCCAGTTGGTTGACTTTCTTTTCATAATTTTCTTGGTTTTCTTGGATTGTTCTTATTTTTTTTTTCTAATTTTCCCTCAATCTTTCTTATTTGATCTTTAAAGTCCTTTTTAAGTTCTTCAAACAACTCTTTTTGAGCGCATGACCATTTGACATTGTTCTTTGGGGTAGGAGAGGCTTTTTTAAAATTTCAGTATCCTCCTCTAAATGTGAAACCCAGATCTTCTGTATCCCCATAGTAGCTGACTATGGTTGGGTTCTTTCTCTTTTTCTTACTCATTTTTACTTTTTAAAAATTTTTATTTTTAGCAGCTTGTTATTATAATTGCCTCCAGTCCTGGGGTGTGGGGGATGGTGCCTCTGGCCTCAGGTTCTTTTTACTGTTATTTTCTGAGCTCTATCCAGGGTCCAACCTCAGCATTCCTCTCCCCCTCCAAACCACAGCTAGGGCCCCCAGCCATACTATGCTAGAAATGCTCTTGCTACCTGAGGACCCTCCAATGGATGTAACCTTCAGTTCTGCCCTCTGGTCTGGAACCAAAAGCAGGAACTCAGCTCTCCTGCAAGTGCCCACAGCCAGCAGCATTCTGCCCCACTGCTTCTACACTCACCAGGGGAATTCTAGTTCCTTCTTGCCTTCAGCCGCAGCACAGGACTGCATCTCGGCAGCTCAGCAGGGTCTGGCATCTCTCTTCAGCAGAGGGTCCTTCAATCCTCCCCTGCTCAGATGTTTACTCCCCACACTGTTTGTGAGGTGAGAATTTCTATGGCTGAGGCTGAGGCTACCTCCTAACCAAGCCCCCGGGGCTTATTGTTTGGTGTTTCAGTGGAGATAGCCTGAAGGTGTTGCACTTCACTCAGGCCACCTCTGTCCCTGGGGTCTTTCCTCAGGTCTTCTCCAGTTGTCCCAAGAGGACCACTGCTCTGCCGCAACTCGTATTTATTTTTGCCCCTCTATGTTCACCCTGAGGGGCTGTTTTGTCTGGTGAGCTTGGAATTTTCAGACCTACTCTGCCATCTTCCTAGAATCCCTCCCCTCCCCCAGTTTGGGGTTTTCTTGGCAAAGATGCTGGAATGTTTTGTCATTTCCTTCTCCAGTTCATTTTACAGATGAGGAAATTGAGGCAAACAGGGTTAAGTGACTTGCCCAGGGTCACACAGCTAGTAAGTGTCCAAAACCAAACTGGAACTCTGGTCTTCATGACTCCAGGCCCAACACTCTATTCACTAAGCCACCTAGCTGCCCCCATGGGGGAGGTTGGAGGGAAAGAAAGTAGACTTTTGTTCATTGAAAAATGCTAACTTAAATTTAAAAACAAAGCAAGACTTGGAAATTGATTGGATATGGCAAGGATTGGGGGGAGGGAATATGAATGAATGGGAGTAAAAAGTTAAAGATTCCTGCTTTGATTGTAAATCTCATTGGCTGGAAGACTAGTAGTGTCCTTGACAGAATTAAGAAAGGCAGTGGGATTTAGGAGGAAACATAATGAACTCTGTTTTGGACACGTTGGAATTTCAGACGCCTGTAGGAAGTCCAGTTGGATATGTTAAGTAGGCTCTTGGAGACTAGAGCTCGGGAGAGGAAAGGGCTGGATATGTATATTTTGTTGTTTTAAAATTTTCCTTTAAACCTTATTTGATTAAGAATTCCCCTCTAGAGAAAGAGGGGATCAATGAATTGGGCATGCAACTAGAAAAGTTAGAAAAAGAACAAATTAAAAATTCCCAATTAAATACCAAATTAGAAATACTGAAAACCAAAGGAGAGATTAATAAAATTGAAATTAAGAAAATTATTGAACTAATAAATAAACTAAGAGCTGGTTTTATGAGAAAAAACCAATAAAATAGATAAACCTTTGGTTAATTTGATTTAAAAAAAAGAAAGAAGAAAACCAAATTACCAGTATCAAAAATGAGAAGGGTGAATTCACCACCAATGAAGAGGAAATTGAAACAATAATTAGGAACTATTTTGCCCAACTGTATGCAAATAAATTTGACAATCTTAATGAAATGGATGACTATTTACAAAAATATAAATTGCCCAGATTAAGAGAACAGGAAATAAAACACTTAAATAACCCCATTTCAGAAAAAGAATTCCCCTCTAGCTATAGCTGTGAAAGGTATCTCCTCTTGTTCTCCTTTATTACTGTACAAATTCCCAACATTTTAAAATGGCAAATGTTACAAAAATAAATAGGCAATATTCAGAAAGATGTCTCTCAGAGAAAGCGTGCTTCAATTTTCTTTATTTTTGCCTGAAATACCCAAATAACATGATAAGCATTAGCTTGAACTTTATGGGCATTAAGGAAAGCACATGTATGTTGTGACAGTTTTTCAAAATAAAAATTTTAACAAATAAATTCAAGTTGGACATTATTGTTTGATTTCCTTTTCAGGTCCCCACTGCTTTGAAGTAGAAACAGTATTTCACATGTAGACAAATACGTTTCATTCCTTAATAAGGCCAAATATTATTCAATATTCTGATATCTAGGAGAAACTTGAGTTGGTCACCACTCATAATGACACTTGGCTGCTTGCAGGACATCATTCTATGATAAATAAACCAATGCAAAGGAAATTCTAAACAATAGAAAAAATGAAAATACTAGGCTATTATGAGATCTCTCTGAGGTCAAGGACCATTTCTTTCACATTGTTCTCTACCCCACTGAGTCTATCACAGTGCCTTGGACAAAGTAGGCACTTAATACATATTGGTTAAATGAATGTTTTAAAGTAGGTGCTGGGCAGGATTTTCAGTGAATAATGATCTCAGTGGGAAATGAACATTGATTACCTATTCTGATAATGAATGGTCAAGAAGCTGTTTGCATGAATGCAAAATGAAGTTCGTTTAGTTCTGGTCTGGCCCTGTGCTTTCACCAGTGTGGACTCCCAGTATGGACACTATCCACTGATTGAGATCAGCAACTGACCTAAAACTTACAGTCTTAGAGAGTCAGCTGTGACATTGAAAGGTTAAGTGATTTATGTGTGGTCACATGGCCAGTATCTTTCAGAAGCAGAGTTTGAACTCAAATCTTCCTGATATATAACCTCTCCTGAGGTAGGTTGCAGGAAAATAAATTTTACTAAAATTCAACTTCAGTTTTAAAGAACCACGCGGTCTATCTAGAGCTACACCCAAGGAAATAAAATTCTCTGTTTATTTTTCAGTAAACGGCAACAGTCTACATTTTCTTTGACACTGGTTGCCACCAATATCTTCAAACAATTTCTCTCCAAGCAAATGAGAAAAAGAGTGTTTCTACCTTAAATTATCCAGGACTCTGTGTGTGTGTGTATAATACATACATGCACACATGTGTATGTCTGTATATACATGTATATATGTACGTATTTGTGTGTGTGTATATATATAGTGTATATATACACATATAAATCTATATGGGTATGTGTGTGTGTATGTGTGTATACTAAAGGAATCCTTGTGATGGTGTTTTCTACCATTCCCCCCACCCTCCATAGGCACACCTCTTAATTTGCGCCTAGGTAGTGATTGACATTGTGTGCTCCACCCACCTTCCCATGACTGTTTCACCTTCTAGAATGCCCAAGCCTGGACCTTGAAATAGGTAGAAATCTAGCCCATCATCCAGTGGCAATGCTAACCTCCTTTGATAAACTTTGTCATTTAGCAACAAGCAGCATTTTTAAATGACAAAGCTTACATAAAATGTTTAACAGCATGATTTAAAAAAAAAAGTTTCATGAACCCTGTACCAATTCTATTAAACATTTGTTTTAAAATGAGGTAAATCCAGAACTGAGAATTTTTTTTAAATATGATATCAGTTATCATTAATAGCAAACCATACCCTCGAAGCTGTCTCTGGTGGTTGATATTTGATTTTTAGGTGAGTAGCTTTAGAAATGTGTTTGGACAGAAACATATAGTGAGTCAACTAGTTATTATAATTACATGATCTTTAATATACTGAATTCCTTTAAACAAAAAGCAGATTCCTCCTGACACTTTTATAATAAGCTTTCATATTGAGAAGTTAAACCACATTTGATTACATTTTTATTCCAATGCTACATAAAATGTATGGGAATTTATACACGTGCAATATTTAAATATACATATATTATCACTACATTTAATCATCTAGGAAGAATTTTATTATGTTATGTATTTTTTACAAGACAATATTTGAGTCACTTTTGAAGTAACATACATTCACATTTAAAAATGTAAAATCACAAAGAAATTTAGGTGCTGCAAGACCATCTTTAACCAGCTCCTTATTCATATGCCCAGGATGCCTAAAGAAAATGAAGAGAAGGAACAAACCAGATGTGTGTGCTTAAAATATTTCTCTACTGTGCAATGAGAGCCAGTGGTTTAAAAGCCCAAGACTGTCAACAAACAAAAAGGATTTTGTAGGTTTAAAAGAGAGCACAAAGGAGCTTGGGTAGGAAAATGGGAATAGGAATGCACTAAACAGATTCCCGTAGGTGCTATTTTTCTCAACAAAATCCCCTAACAAATCATGGTATTTTTACTATTATCTTAGCTCTTCCCAGATTATGAGACTCTATTTTCTGGTTCTGTTCCTTCTCTTGGTCCCGGTAGAAAATTGAAACCAGTGACTAGATTGACACAGAACTGCTACATCACATTATGACAATTCCCATTATCCCAGCCCCCATCTGTAAGTTTTAATCAAGCACTTACTATGTAGTACCAAAGCAAGATCCTAGCCCTGCTTTAAAGGATTTGCAGCATCCTCAAGGGAGTGGGTCATTTCTAGTACTTTTCTACCTGGACCAAACAATACCCTCAGCAAGAAACTGCCTGCCTTATTACAAGTAACTTGGGGGTCTTTTACCTGTTATGTTTTAAGGGGTTCTCCAAGCATCTTTCCCTCTGATGCCTAACATCTTAATATTAAGTATTCATTTTCTGAGGTGGGGTAGGGTAAGGTAGTGGTTAAGTGCCAAAGACAAACATTCCCTATGCCACAATTTTGCCTAGGACCCTTTTGTCTCTAGAGTAGACAGTAAAAATCTTATAGTTCATTAGATCCAGACTCCAGGGACGTTCCAGACGGGAGGTCTCCAGGCAGGGCCTCCTGCATCAAAACCCACCTTCTCTAGGAGAACCTCAGGGAAATAGGATCAGGAGGGATGGAACTATCAAGAAGGAAGGGAATGTTATATAGCCAGTGCCACAAAGTAGAAATCATGTTGGTATGGAGCTTTGACCACTTGGAAAGATAGGAAACTATCCATGAAACCACTGGGAGCATCACCAAACTGCCACCTAGACAGCATACTGTCAACAAGGTGGGCTTTCACTGGAAGAAACAGCTAGAGATGGAGATCTCTGTGTCCTCATTAGACCTGAAATTTTTTTCACTTCAAATATACCCAGTGATAATGAACAAACTGATTTCTATATCATATTTGATTGAAATATTTTACTGGATCGCTCACAGCCAATAATCATTCTTCAAAAAAATTGGAGTGACAGTGAACTACGGACACAACTTGTCATTGAGTAAACACGCCAAATTTTTATTTGTCATATATAATACAGTTAGTGGAATTTGTGTGTGCATGTGTATAACATATATATACAAACAAATAAATACATATTTTATTGTATATGAATCTTAGTTGCTTTGTAAATGCTATGTATTGTACTAGGTTATGGTAGCTAACACCAAATAGAGGATTTTATTAGAATAATGATTTAATTTCACATCTACTTAGCTTGGAAACAAAAAGTGGAGCACCAGTATGTAGTATCATTCACAAACTTTGAGAAATTATAATTGCTATTGTCTAAAGATATGTATTCAATACATCTTTCTAATAAATAGAAGTTTCTTGCTACTTTACAAAGCAGAAGGGAGACTAAGGTTGTGAGTCTGCTGGGGCATCTCCTGGTTTGGGTTTTTCTTCTAGCACAGAATGACTCAGAAACTGGCCTGTGGCACCAATGTATAATCTTGATCGCATGGGCCATTTCTAAAAAAAAAAAAAAAAAGAATATTCAAATGAGATTCAAAATGTCATCATTTATATATTTAATTTGCTTACTGATTCCTGCAATAAACAGACCAATTCAATAACCCTGAAAGAAAAATGTTCATTTTGGGAAACTTTTTCAACACAAATATTTATCATTTTTTTAACCCTCCCTTCACTATTTAACCCCCACCCCCTCAACTAAACTATATACACATGTATTTACAGATGTACACCAAGATGTTTTCATTTTAAATCTCATTATATTTGCTATTGGTCTGAGGGGCAGCATGGTATACTGGATAGAGAATTGACCTTACCAGGAAGACACAGTTCATGCCCTGCCTCTGACTCATACTGGCTGCATGACCTTTGCATACATATTTAACCTCTTAGAGCTCTAGGCAACTCTCAAAGATTATAAATTGCTGAGAAAGTACTAACTTTATTTGGTAGAGGGACTTTCCTTATCTGAGAATTCCCTTTGCCCATGACATCACAGGTCTAGTCCATATTCCTAAATCTGGTCTAAAACTTCAGTTTAGATACTGCTTTAAAAATAACCATCTAGGACAGGGGGTGGGGATGAGAGGAAGAGAATAGCCCAGGCCTGTAACTCCTTTCATTGGAGAGTCTGAGGCTGGTAGATTGCTTGGGTTTGATAAGGACAAAGTGATTAGGTGATCACACTGAGTCTGGCACCAATATGGTGGTCCCCCAAGAACATTGCTAAAAATATTGCTAAAAAACAAAAAACAAAAAACAAAAAAAACCACATTTGCCTAAAGAGAGACAAACCAGACCAGGTCACAAACTGAGTAGGTCAAAACCTCCATGCTGATCAGCAGTGAGGTCTGGCCCATGAGAGACTGCTATATTTGCAGCCAAAATAAGATAGAGATCCGATCTCAAAACAAACAACAACAATAACAACAAAATCTAACAAAACACCACCAACAATTCTTTTTAAAAAACTATACATGGGGGCGGAGCCAAGATGACAGAGGGAAAGCAGTGACTGTCTTGAGCTCTCTCCCAAAGCCCTCCAAATACCTAAAAAAATGGCTCTAAACAAATTCTAAAGCAGCAGAACCCACAAAAAGACAGAGTGAAACAAATTTCCAGCCAAAGACAGCCTGGATGGTTGATTGGAAAGGTATATCACGCTGGGTGGGGAGAGGAGCGCAGTTCGGCGTGGGTACGCAGGCTGCAGCAACCCTGGAGCAGGCCTCAGAGGGCTGAATCGTGGGCAGCTGTGGTGGTTTCCAGACTTCTCAACCCAGGAACACCAAAGACAATGTGGAAGGTCAGTGGGAAAAGTCTGTGACTGCGGTGAGAGAGGAGCTAGATCTCAGCCGCAAGTCTGGAGAACAGCCTGGGGCAGCAACTGTTTCCTGAGCTTCAGGCCCACAGACTGAGGGGGAATCAAGTGGCTGATCAGAGGGGGATTGCAAGGATCTCTTTGCCAGGGCTGAGGCAGGAATCTCTTGCTTTGCCCATGCTTGGATCTGGGTCACAGTTCTGAGGGGCGGTCCTGGGGCAAGGAGGAACGCTGGTGTAGTGAAGCTTGTTGTGGCTGTGGAGAGGAAACTCCTCGCCCCTTATCATACCACCTTGGAAGAACTGAAAATTTACAGGTCCCTAGACGTATCTCTGAAAACAGCTGTACAAACCCCCGAAGCTTGGGACAGTACACTCGTCACATTGGAAGCAGACTTTTATCTTAACAAAGAGTTTAAAATGCAAGTAATTGTCCAGGATCATGAGTAAGCAGTGCAGAAAGAGTCAGACTATATTATCTTACTTTGGTGACAAAGAAGATCAAAACATACAACTAGAAGAAGACAACAAAGCCAAAGCCCCTATATCCAAAGCCTCCAAGAAGAATATGAATCAGTCCCAGGACTTGGAAGATCTCAAAAGGGATTTTGAGAAGCAAGTAAGAGAAGTAGAGGAAAAACCGAGAGTGATGCAAGAAAATCATGAAAAACAAAGCTTGCTAAAGGAGACCCAAAAAAATACTGAAGAAAATAACACCTTAAAAAATAGCCTAACCCAAATGGCAAAAGAGGTCCAAAAAGCCAAGGAGAAGAATGCCCTAAAAAGCAAAATTGGCCAAATGGAAAAGGAAGTCCAAAAGCTTACTGAAGAAAATACTTCCTTAAAAATTAGAATAGAGCAATTGGAAGCTAGTGACTTTATGAGAAATCAAGACAATGTAAAACAAATCCAAAAGAATGAAAAATTAGAAAACAATGTGAAATATCTCATTGGAAAAACAACTGACCTGGAAAATAGATCCAGGAGAGAGAATTTAAAAATTATTGGACTATCTGAAAGCCATGATCAAAAAAAGAGCCTAGACATCATCTTTCAAGAAATTATCAAGGAAAACTGTCCTGATATTTTAGAACCAGAGGGCAAAATAGAAATAGAAAGAATCCACCAATCTCCTCCTGAAAGAGATCCCCAAAGGAAAACTCCTAAGAATATCATGGCCAAATTCCAGAGTTCCCAGGTCAAGGAGAAAATATTGCAAGCGGCCAGAAAGAAACAATTCAAGTATTGTGGAAACACAATCAGGATAACACAAGATTTAGCTGCTTCTACATTAAGGGACCACAGGGCATGGAATATAATATTCCAGAGAGCAAAGCAGATAGGATTACAACCAAGAATCACCTACCCAGCAAAACTGAGTATAATCCTGCAGGAGAAAAAATGGTCATTCAGTGAAATAGAGGACTTTCAAGCATTCTTGATGAAAAGACCAGAGTTGAATAGAAAATTTGATTTTCAAATACAAGACTCGAGTGGAACATGAAGAGGTAAACAGGAAAGAGAAAATCATAAGAGACTTATTAAGGTTGAACTGTTTACATTCCTTCATGGAAAGATGATATTTGTAACTCATGAGACCTTTGTCAGTATTAGGGTAGTTGGAGGGTAAAAAATTATATGTACGTATATATAAATATAAATAGATAGATAGAGGGCACAGGGTGAGTTGAAAATGAAGGGGTCATATCTGGAGAATAAAATTAAGGGGTGAGAGAGGAATATGCTAGGAGAAGGAGAAAGGGAGAGGTAGAATGGGGTAAATTATCCCACAGAAACAAAACAAAACAAAACAAAAAACCAGAAAAAAAAGGCTCTGACAGTGGAGGGGAAACGGGGGAAGGTGAGAGGGAATGAGTGAATCTTATTCTCATAGAATTTGACTTAAGGAGGGAATAACATACACACTCAATTGGGTGTGGAAATCTGTCTTACCCTAGGAAAATGGGGGGGGGAGGGACAAGAGAGTAGGGGGATGATAGAGAGGAGGGCAGATTGGGAAAGGAGGTAATCAGATGTAAATACTTCTGAGGAGGGTCAGGGTCAAAAGAAAGAATAGAATAAATGGGTGGGCAGGATAGGATTAAGGGAAATAGAGTTAGTTTTTCACAGCATGTCTACTATGGAAGTATTTTGCATAACTGCACATATATAACCTATATTTAGTTGCTTGCCTTATCAATGAGGGTGGGTGGGGAAGGAGGAAGGGAGAAAATTTGGAACCCAAAGTTTTAAAAACATGTTTAAAAAAAATGTTTTCACATGCAACTGGGAAATAAGAAATACAGGAAATGGGGTACAGAAATCCATCCTGTCCTACAGGAAAATTGAAGGGGAAGGGGATAAGAGAAGGGGGGGAGAGATAGAAGGGAAGGCAGACTAGGGGAAGGGGTATTTAAAATGCATACCATCTTGGGGTGGGGGGAAGGGTGAGATGGGGTGAAAATTTGGTACTCAAAATCTTGTGGAAGTAAATGTTGAAAACAAAAAATAAATAAAAATTACCATAAAAAATTTAAAAAATAAAAAACTATACATGATAAAATCTATACAATACCAAAGCATTATAATGAAAAATTTAATCATCCAGATGTCTTACCTACTTAATAGCAAGCATCGTATAATTGTAAAGATCAGAATGTCTGTTGTTGAGTTATTAACCACTTGAGTGATTACATTTTCTATCTTTTAGCCAACTGTATCAGAATTATTTAGATATTGTTTATACATTGTTGTTATATCTATATTGATTTCTATTAATGTTATTTTAAAAATCCATTCAAACCATATAATTTAACTCTCTCCATCCTAAAGAGATTTAACAATGAAATTTTTAAAAAATGTTACAAGGCCCTTTGGACTACAAGGCCCATAATGGCAGCATTGCCAAGCAGACGACTGAACTTGGAGTCAGAAAGACCTGGATTTGAATTTTATTTCAAACACTCATTGGCTCTATGACTATCAGAAAGTCACATAAATTCTCTGAGCCTCGGTTTCCTCATCTCAAGAGAGAGAATAATACTTGTGCTTCCTGTCTCACAGAGCTTTTGTAAGACTCAGATAAGCTGCTCTGCAGATTATTTTTATTAAAAGAATCATCTCAGAAGAAATATTTTACCCATAATGTAATGTGACTTGAAATAATCTATGCCTTTAGTATCCTTCATGAATATAATTTTTGAAGAGTTTTCTAGCTATGTTATTTTTTCATATGTCACCGAAAAATAGGACGCTAAATGTAGCAGTAGGGAACACTGAGCAGAAATAAGATACTTTTGTTCTTATGCCAAATGAGTGGCACAAAGTTCATGCTACTATTATTTGTCACTATCATTTCTCCAGTTATGACACAGAATTGTGTTGTTTATGTCATGTAAAGGTGCCCTCAACTCCCATGATATTACTTAGTCTGATTCTACTAAAATGTAAAAACATATACAAAAACGTGAAAATTAGTTTGACACACATTTCCAGATACAGTCTACGTAATAGACTGTACAAAGTATGACAATAAAATATTTTTAGGCTTCAAGGAAGCAGCTTTCAGTAGAACGTAGAGTGCTGAGGATAGAGTCAGAAAGACTCCTATTTCAAATATTTACTAGCTGTGTGACCCTGGGAAAGTAAGTCACTTAGCCTCTATCAGCTTCTCTTTCCTC